AGGCATAACTCAGCTGAATGATCTCTTGGGTCGTCAGAACATAAAAATCTAAGAATGATAGAAGCAAAAATATGTGAAAAAAATGGTAGGAATGCACATTACTCTTAGGAATGCGATGAGAAATTGAAATGTGTTCCCACATTCGCTCAACTGATACGAAATCGTTGAATTCATGTGACACTGCATAAAATATTTTCGTTATGATATAATGATTGACGACATTAAAATGATGCTCTGTCTAGTTCGTCGTTCTCATATGCATATGAAATACACACGAAAGAAGAGATGCACTTAATGCATCACATCGGGGAATTGATGATGGAGAAATGATATTGAAACGACTTTTTATCTGATCAGCCGCAAATTATATGCTGTTCGAAACAAAGCGCATTTCATCCGAAAGGCGTCATGTTTTAAGTATTCGGTGCTATCGGCTTTCAGTGCACATTCGCATCCTCTCGGCACATATCATGAATCAGCCCATTTTGAGGCCGAATATTTTTCGTCCGTAAAGATTTTTCATTATGATGCCGGAAAGTGATCACTTCATATTTTTGACTTGCTACAATTTTATTCATTGATGTGCAACATAACTGTGTCTGCTCACAATCAGTAGATTATTATGACTGGTCTCAATCGCTACAAAGTATATACACTTACATCTAATGTTTTCATCGTTTTCGAATCATATTAATCATGTTGTCCAAAAATACGAAAACAGACCTAATGACACCAAAAATACCAAAAAAGAAATATTTGTTGCTTGCATGTAATTTATGAACTGATTATACGTCCTATGACAGATGCTGCTATTGTTCAAGATTTCATTAGCTTTTACTGTCACTATACGGTGACCATAGTATCGTGTTTTACCTCACAGTCAAAGACGAATCGTTCAGCCAGTTTCACCTTCTCATAAATGTTTTGATATCGACTTGATCATTTCTTATGATATATTAATAGATTTTATTCCACAAAGCTTCAAAACTAAAACATTGACATTTCCAGAAGGATTTCAAAAAAATAAATAAAATAGGCATAAACATAAACACCAAACAGTAATGCAAAAAATCGAAATGCGTATAATAATAGAATGAAATGCTAATTACACGTCTAGAATGATCGTTGCATCGAAATTTTTGTATAATGTAAGACTTTATCGAATATTGCATGAAATTCTAAATTTTTGTCAAATTTCCGCGAGTTTAATCAAAAGTAATCGTAGTGGATGACAGGTTGAAAAATTGAGTGTGTATTCACAAGTGATCAGAATGTCAAACGTGAGGAATACATCAGAGCTATCACTCACGTGGTTTTCAGCAAATTGAAATGGAACGAATCGAATTTTGAGCTAATGTAAACTCATTAAGATTTCATTACAAAAAAAAATCCCTCCAGAAACAGTTCACTAAACATTGGCGAGTAATGCAACAAGAGGCAAAATGCTTAAATTAAACGATCGCCAATAATAATACAGGCTTAATCACTGCTCACTGCTAACAAATTATTGACAAATCACATCGATGAAAGCGAATAAAAGGGAAATATGAATGGGATGAGATGGTAAGCATCAGACGTGATAACATCTACACACTGAACCAGTCAAGACTCGAGTTCAGTTCTGACAGCTGCATTCATCAGCTGAATGCCGCTCACGTGCCCATACAATAACCTAGCCACAGCAGATAGACTGGATATTGAAAGCGTATTGTTGTTGATAATTCAGTGGAATCGCTTGCCGAATAACGGAGTGATCGTTGAGAGTCGCAATTGTAACGGATTCATCCGTCCTTCTGCCTGCAAATAGACTGGATTACCAATGAGCAAAACCGGATTCTAAGCTAGTGACAACGGTCACGAAGCACTTTTCAGGAAGCAATAAGAATGATGGAACTCATTTTGCTTTGATGGTCCGAAAATGAATGAGAAGAAAAGATTCATGATATTATGGCATATCGACATCATGCTAAACAATAACCTCAGCAGAGTCGTTTCTTTATGAATTTGAAATGTTCAACACCATTAAATGTGGTAATTTATAGTAATACTAGAGACTTGTTCACCTTGAAAAATTCCACTAAATCTTCCACTTCCACATATCCATCGCTGTTTTTATCCAATGCCTGAAAACGATCGCGTGAACAGAGACCATTAGGAAGTTCATTCGAACCGAACTCTTGTATGATATTGTGATGAATTTATAAAGGAACTGAATCAGTAATTTGGTCGGATGTCCGACAGCTGCACGAAACAAACTTTGATCATTGCAAAATAACTGCATAAAGATTTTTTTCGCGATTGTAAGATGCGTTAAATGGGCAATCTCTATGTAATGGTTAATTCAATTGGAATGCCTCTTCAATAATAGACTGCGAGTTTTTGAAAAGAATTATGACCAACCGCGAAAGCTTCTTCGGTCTTTTTGCTGATAATCTCCTCAAGGGATGTACTACGTTCGGTACTGCTTACACTCAGCTGAACGCTATTCCTTCGCTCGACAGGTTTCGACATCTGATAGACGGAGCGAACGAATTCAGTGAATTCCTCAAATAGCAAAACTGAGTTACAGAGAAGGAAAAAAAACGAAATAACACGGTCGTTGCATTCGTGCCAGACGACTGAGTGCATGAAAGCAAAGGACATTTTTATTAGTTAAATGGTCAACCG